ATGGATGGACAGATGGATGGATGAATGGATGGACAGATGGATGAATGGATGGACAGATGAATGGATGGACGGATGAATGGATGGACAGATGGATGGATGGATGGACAGATGGATGGATGGATGGAAGGATGGATGAATGGATGGACAGATGGATGGATGGATGGACAGATGGATGGATGATGGACAGATGAATGGATGGACAGATGGATGGATGATGGACAGATGGATGGATGGACAGATGGATGGATGATGGACAGATGAATGGATGGACAGATGGATGGACAGATAGAAGTGTCCCTGTTTGACCGTGTAGACCTGACCTCTGCCATTCGCTGGTCCTCCTCCACAGGGACGAACTTGTCGTGCATGCCGTGAACGAGCAGGACCGGTACCGTCAGCTCGGCGTGGTAGACCTCGTCCCCCTCGGGCCAGTACTGTCCGCTCATCATGGCACGCAACACGAATGACGACACATTGAAGGCATTGTTCTCCCTCAGCAGCTGCTTCTCCTTGGAACCCTGCCGAGCAAARCCGGCCCTGCAGAGACAGAAATCAGAGTGACACAAAAACCAAACCGGGCCTGGAACTGATACTGGCTTCCAGACATGTGAACTCTTACTTCAGGAAGCTCCAGGCCAGCAGAGGGGAGAGGCAGTGCAGCACACAGGTGGGCAGGTTGAAGATGGAGCAGAGGCTGGGCTCCAGAGCTGTGGGACCACCACCATTGATCATCACCATCTTGTGGATCTGATCTGGAAACTCGTGGGCCAGGAACGTGCAGAATGACACACTGATCAGTTAGAACAAGAAGGTGGTTACAATGTACACAACAGATTGTTAAAATGTTAGACAATTAGGCACATCTAGACAGAATGCAAATTATGAAATTCTGGCGCGCACAGTTCTGCAAAACTACTAATTCACTAAGACCAGAACTTAGTTTCTAATTTAGCGTATTAGCTTTTTTACTGACTTTGTAAACCGTTAGTGGACAGATTAGGTTTAGCTAAATTAGGTTCCACTAATTTTAAGTCAGCTAAAAATTAAGTGTTAAGCTTCTATTTTTATGCATTTTATCCCAAATTAAATAAAAACTCCAATCAGTGCTGGAATTGTCAGGGACAGTTTGTGTGCATCTTTAGCAGCTAAACTTCAAACTAAGAGTGTCAAAAAGAAATAACAGTTAACAATATTTCAATAAATACAAAATATACTACATATATGGAAAAGCATTTGCAACTTTTTGTTTGACTATAACTTCAAATTCTATTTATAAAAATACAATTTCCATCAAGGAAATGCTTTTATTCTGAAAGGTAAGCCAGACCGAAATTTAACTCTGGTTCGGATTGGGCCACAGATGATCCCACCCACCAAATTAAACCAAAAGAAAACTTCAACCGGAAAGAGAAGACGTGTGACAGGCTAAGTGATGGTCCACTTAGCAGTTAGCGGTTAGCTTTAGCTTTCTCATTTTTTTTTATGTTTACCAGCGTTAGCAGAGTTAAGATTCTTGTTCAGCAGATTAGTGGTTAATGAACCTAATTTCTTGGCAGTGTCCACCATGATCAGGATGTCTTTGTTCTAAAAGTATAAATCTTAAATTTACCCGTACGAATGTCCTATGAGAATATTCCTCTTCTTTGCGTATCTTTTGAATATTAGTCTCATGTCTTCAGCCAGGGCGTAGAAGGTGTACGCTGCAGCTATATGTGGAGCTGAGCTGGCCCCGTGCCCTGCCAAGTCGGGGGCAATCACCTCGTAACCAAGTCGGGAAAAGAAGTCCAACTGGCTCCCCCAGATGTCCAGGGAGCCCCCCACCCCGTGGATGAAGAACAGAGCCACGTCGGAATGTGTCCCCTTACAGGAGGCGATCCTCCTCTCGCAGTCGATCACCAGGGTCCGTTTGGGTTTCCTCCTCCGTTTGCGGGGTGGTTGGCTCGGTTCATGCTGTCCTGCGGCAGGCGCTTCTCCTGATGCTCCTGTTTCAGGCGTCGCCGTGTTGTTTCCAGCTGCGACCGACTCTGAGCGAGCCTCGGGTATGCTGACAGGCGGTGAGGAGTTCCGACCRTCTGTCAGCTCCACCTCCACCGTGCTGTTGGGCTCCGTGTCTCCGTTCTGGCAGGTTTTCAGCTCGGCGCTCGCCCTCTCGCCCAGGTTCTCGATGAACAGCTGTCCACTGCGGTAGACTGTGATCTTTCTCTTGCAGCTCACGATCCCACCCTGCGTGGGCTCCTCCACCACCGGCCGGTCYGGGAGGATGTGGCGAACCCGCAGGACCCGGCCCGGTTTCACCTCCACGAACTCGTAGCCGTCTGCGGCTTCGGAGGACTCCACAGGAACAACGACGTTGGCTGATTTGGAGGCGAGGCAGCAGAGGAGGCCTTCAATAAAGCTGGTCAGCATGGCTGCCAGTCTGGAGTACAGTCACAGAAAAACAAACACGTTTAGATCGGTGAACAATGATCAACACAAACAAACTGTGTTAAGGGTTCACGCYACAGGAAGCATCAAAACTTAATGTAAAGATAAACCTTTTAAAGACTTTACAGATGATTCCAATCATCTGATTTCTGAAAGCAGGGCCGGCAATARCCAGTTTGGTACCTTAGGCAATATTTCATGTGCAATTTTCTAARTCTCACTGCCAATTTACAAATATTCACATACAAACTTATATAGTTTTATCTTTGATATTGTTCTATCTTTAGAAGCAATATATTTGAAACAGAATACCAAAAGTATATCTCATATCTGCCAACATATGACAGCACTGAGGAGTTCAGCTGTGGAATGAAGCAGTTMYAGGGGGATCYAGGGGTACACTTTCCTGGAAAAATTTTGTACAAGATCTACTCAAAACTACCGGTATACATTTTCCAGCCTTTTGAYGAGCATTTTACTAAATTCYTGGGATTAATCAAACAACATAAATCTATATTTTATGAAGGTGGAACACTGAAAACCAGACTTTAACCTGAACTTTATCTGAGACCAGAACTGAAACTTTCATTATCTTTATTTTAGTTTACACACTGTGCACCAGTAGTTAGTCTTGACTGCATCATATGACACTTTTATCACAAAATGTCCTTTGCACCAAATAACCTCATGTAGTAACAAAGCAGAACAAGATACCTTCAAAAACTTGAGTAACTAGTGATTATTCTACAGATTAAATCAACCATAATCTGATTTTAAAAAACAACCATTCTCGTCTCCCATTTATGGCACCCCCCTATATGGACAGAGTATTTGCCTATACTGCCTATGCCACAGCCTGGCCCTGTCTAAAAGTTTCAATAAACTCCATGCAGAGGTTCATAAGGTATAATAGTAACCATGTGATTTTCCTTACGGCAGCATTTAGAGATATTAATAGGCTTGAACGATAAAAGCTCCCTGCGTTAAAGCTGTCAGCCATGTGAGCCCCTCTCCTGCAGCACACACAGCACAACCACGCGCCAAAAAAGACGAGCAATTCWTTGGGCTTTTAAGTATAATTTGAGAGTAATACAAAAGAATAAGATTATTGCCTAAATGTAAAATAAAGGAGAAGATATCTGGAGAAGAACCTCGGTACAGAYTTGGTGAAACCATTAAAAGTTACATGAAACAAAGCAGTGTTCTCCTGCAGACGCAGGTAGCTGAAGGTAAAGCTTTGGTTGTTTACTACAGTAGTCAGGTTTGGTCTGAAAGTCTCTGCTGGCATCATCTTACCTTCCTGTTGCTCCCCTCCTCCCCACTTGAGGAGGGGATTAAACTCTCTCTAAGTCCACTCAACAAATCTGTGTAGAGTCTTGATGAAAACCAGTGACACTGTGTCGCACTGTAAGAGATGTTGCATCATTTTTTTCYCCCAATTTGGGATCCATTGTAAAACATCAGCAGTCCTGTTTGCTTTCATTGTCTTTCTGCTTACAGCTGCACATCCTCTGTCTTTATTGTTGTGTGCTGACTGGAGGCTGGTGTGATATCTGTGACACGTCCAYCTCTGAGAGGCAACATTTTATCAGACTCAGTGTGACAGAGTGTGTTATACACAGTTCTGTCTTTCTGGTTATCAGAGTCCTGCGGTGACAGTCTGGGTCTTAATGGACGGTTTTGAAAGAAGAGACACACCGATGTGTCRCTGCTGCTTTTATTGTCTGATTCCTGTCATCCAGCATGAGAAATAAGTTTCAAAAATAGCTTTATTTTGGGATAATAAGAGGCTGGTACAGCTCTGTCGATTTTGTTTGACACACGGAGGCAGTGATGGTTGTGACAGCGTGTTGTTTGTTCAGCAGTCACTTTTATTGCATAGCTGGTATGACTGGTCACAACATTTCCTTCAAATACACCTGTGTTATAGTCATTAGACTCTACGACAAACTAATGGATACAAGCTGTTTCATAAAAACTGGTTTTGTGCATTTTTTATTTGTTTGTAAGTAAAAGGCCTCATGAACCAGACGGATGATTTTAATGAAACTCTCAGAAAGAAGTTGTTGGATGCACATTTACAAAGATACAGATATGTAACTTAAGTTTGGTGTCACAGTGGCTGAGCATTGTCTAGAACAGAGGAGCCCAAAGTGGGGCCCACGGGCCAAATTTGGCCCGCCAAGCCATTTGATTTGGCCCACCAACAGTTGCCAAAGTTACAAGGTTGTAACCTGTTATACTATGTAGAAACACATTGGTCAAATGACTATATAAAAGGGTGTGAAGGTAGTTTTTATTCATGGTGCTGACTTTCTCTTTGATTTAATAAGATTAAACATGAAACATGAAATGACAAGAAATATTTAGACCAGATTTAACCCCACATGTAGATTTGCACACTTTATAAGGCCACAAAAACTCGTATTTTATCAATTTATGAAATGTCCCATGAGCCTTTGCTACTCGAGTGTATGGCAGACTTCCTCCAAGTGAACAGACTAAAACAAAAGAGGGCCATTGCATAGCTTAATCATTAAAAATAAAGGATTTTACTTTAAAAAAGTATTTGTATTTCATGTATTAAATTACTGCATTTGGACCACAGCCCTGGATAGATTTTCATTTTGGCCCCCTCGGGGAAAATGTTTGGGCACCTCTGGTCTAGAACAAATACTTTGAGTGACACAAATTGCACTATATTTTTTGCTTAAATCAGTGTTATTACC